TTATTATTATCATGTTGGAGAAACGTTGATGACAGTGAAAACGATCTACTTTTCTCTTCTTTCTCACTAAGTGTAGGAAACATGATGAACTTCTATGGTCTATTGAGAGTTCTGAAAATGGTCTATTCAGTTTCTAACTTGCCATACGGATAAAGTCACCGTTGGACTTCTCATAGACGAATACGGCTACAAGCAGTGAGTCTAAGGGAAGAGCTGAATCGAAGAAAGCCATCCTTGCCGTTTTGTTGTACGTTGTCTTCAAGGTGCAGTGAAGAGAAAAGAAAAATCCTTGACGTGGAAGTTCGGAGGCGGAGGGCCTACACCTGCAAGAAGGTATTCAGCTGCTTGACGGAATGGTGCAGCAAAGGAGTAACTCACTGTTTGAATTTTGGACTTTGATCTACAGGTCATGAACCGCTACCGAACGATCCACAGTTAAAGGGGAAGTCAAGGCTAAAATCAAAATTTCACCAGTTGTAGTCTTCGGGGTGCTGAGTCGAATGGTCTTGGTCCGAGGAAGCTGAGACGCTCCCTTCCTACTTTAATCCCAATCGAACTCGCGCACTTCCACCGAAACTGGGTGACTGCGCCCTGCTGGATGGGGATTTGTATGCAAAATGTCACTAAAAGCGCCATTTCGTTCTTATAAAAGCACGGATGACCGCTATTGGCCCATATGTTGTAGTCTTTTGGACGCTGAGTCAACTGGTTCTGGTCCGAAAAGGCTGCGATGCAGCGTTCGGCCCTTATTCCCAATCGAACATGGTTGAACAAGCGGTCACGTGCTCCTGCGTACACCAGTCACCTGGTCACCGTTCCTGCAGGGTACAACTTCCAGCCTGTTTGACCTTTTTTGGGTGCAGTCCTGTCACTCGAGTTGAACTTGAGTTGAACCTTGGTGTGAAAGTTGTCGCCTGCTGGCGCTGTGACCAGGTGACTTTGGCACGCAGGAGCACGTGACCGCTTGTTCAACCATGTTCGATTGGGAATAAAGGAGGAACGCTGCATCGCAGCTTTCTCGGACCAAAACCAGTCGACTCAGCGTCCAAAAGACTACAACATATGGGCCGATCGCGGTCATCCGTGCTTTTATAAGAACGACAAGGCGCTTTTAGTGACATTTTGCATACAAATCCCCATATAGTAGGGCGCAGTCACCCAGTTTCGGTGGAAGTGCGCGAGTTCAATTGGGATTAAAGTAGGAAGGGAGCGTCTCAGCTTCCTCGGACCACGACCATTCGACTCAGCACCCCGAAGACTACAACTGGTAAAATTTTGATTTAGGCTTAACTTCCCCTAACTACAGTCCATTCACAAAAAGATGGGCCCTGTCTCTGGCGAGCTCCCGTATTAGGCGATTTTTCAAGATTTTATCGTACACAGTGCAGTGCTGTGAAATTTGAAATGTGAAAAAGGGTCCAAAAAGGATACCTGAACTGGGGTTCGAAACGTACAATGCACTGTTGCAGGCAGGGTCGAACGGCCTGGATTTTGATGGGTTTTCCCAATTCAGTGCTCTTGGGGCAAAACCTGGCGGAAATCCTATTTTTGCTAGGGCTTACTTTTCGGAGAAATAGACTTCCGAAACATAATTGGAAGAGGATTCCATTGGGGATTGCAGAAACAAATTCTACAAAACTCAACGTTTGACCCATTTATGGCCAAAAGCTTGAAGTCCATCTTTTTCTGAATGGACTGTAGTTGTAACTACAGTGTAGACCGATACATGTAGCACCCAGTGCCAGAGCAGGGTTAGGGGAGTGAATCCAATGATCCAGTCGCTAACGTGAGCAAATACATGACTGTCAACCAGGTCAGTCCGTGCAGTACCTGGCTGGTTTCTACCAAGCATGATGTGCACACACGCTAGCTCTGGAGTAGGCATAGTCACAGTGTGCAGTGATACTAATGCTGTAGGGGGATTTCAAATACTTCAAGTAGACTAATACATGATTGTACTAGTCTACGCTAGCACATGATTGTATTTTTACTTACTGAGTGAGTTGTCCGTTACGTGAAATCTTCTTCAAACGTTGGCGGTGTAGGCTGACTGGAGTAAGTACGTCGTTTAGAGAATTAGAAGGAGAGCGTTATGCTGAACTTGTTACTCACTGAGAGAGCGTTATGCTGAACTACAATCATGTAGTTACTCACTGAGAGAGCGTTATGCTAAACTAGTTGTTCACTGAGAGAGCGTTGTGCTGAACTAATACTTGTTACTCACTGAGAGCGTTGGGCTGAACTAGATACTCACTGGGAGAGCGTTGTGCTGAACTAAAGTTACTTGTTATTCACTGAGAGAGCGTTGTAGCAGCCACTACAGACTGATTACCGGTAGTAGTTGAGAGAAAGAGTAACAATGACTGGAAAGGATAATGCACGACTACCAAAGGTAGGTAGGGACTGTTCAACAACACTAGAAGACGTTTGAAACAAATTAATGAGAAAGGGAGGGAGACGAAAACGGACAACCGGACTGTGTCGTGAGAAATGGAAGACTGAGCTGTGCCGAACGAATAGCGATGTGATCTAATGTTTGAACGAATCGTGCCTTACATGCATGTGGTAAGTGGCAAGAGATGCTCACTGGCTGGCAGACCACGGACGGCCATCTACTCGTACATTACTGATACTGATGATATGAGTGATAGTGGTTTAGCTTTGTGGCTGTGTGCCAATGCGAGAACTCAGGCATCTCGTGTTCAGGTGTTCGCAGCACTGCGTGTGTGTCAGCGTGTTGTCACGTGATATGCTAGACGTCTGCATGCTGCACGATGTCCCGCTCTGCACAGACCGAGACCATAAAATTAATGATTATGTGTTGTTTACATAGTCATTGGTGACAAGAATCACAGTCACACATGTAGACTACTCGCATGATAGGGGACCTACCCCACTACCACATAACAACACTACCTGTAACCAATCACGATCTAATGCTATGCTCTTCTCATCAAATATGGACAAAGAGCTGATGTCGTGTGATGACGTCATGTCTTAGGGTACAGTCCCATACAGATCGGGGTGTCAATCTGCCGTAAAATTCTATTTACTGGTTGTTGCCAAACACATGTCACCATATTCCATAATGACATGACGTCTCTGAGCAACTTGACAATGTAGACGCTGTAGTAGCTGCTTGTGTGTGGTCTGGTGTACAACTCAGCAACAGACTGTACATTTGGGTGATCGTGGATCAACAGGACAGGTCTAATGCAATGACTATGTAGACTATGTGTTGGAGTGCTCAGGGGCGTAGTGTAGCCCTTTTCAGTCTGCTGATGGTCATGTGATGCGACATACAGTCAACTTCGCGTATAACAACACTCGGCGGGGCATCAGAAAAGTGTCCTTATTAGCGAAGTGTCGTTATACCCGAAGTCTCATTATAATTATGTACTACAGTTGGATGGGACTCTGCTCTGGGCATGGAAATTCTGTCGTTATTCCCGAATTGTCGTTATATCCGCAGTCGTTATTAGCGAAGTTGACTGTGGTATACAATTCACACTATGTTCTTTTTTGCAGCCAAGGATACTGGCTCAGCCAACTCCTTTTATTTGGAAGCTTTGCGGTAAACTGCACTCAGAAACGAGTCTGATTCAGCCGACTATACATCATTCTCCTTTGATCTGGAACTACATTGTATATGTACTATCGGCTGCTTCTTACAAACGTTTTGCTGGAAGCTCCGACATTTGGACTTGCAAGAAAACATGCTTCTTGAATGACAGGGAGCAGCTAGTTAGTTGGGACGAAAGCAGCACAGTGCAGCCACTTCACACCAAGGAGCAGTAAAACACCCGCGACCGGTATTTACTACCCCTTGTTCCACACTCAGCTTCCCTCGCTCCGAGCACGCTGCTGTTTTACGGTTTGCAAAGGACGAGGTACTGACAATGGCTGTATGGCTGCATGTACAATCATGTTCAAGACTGAGATACAGTATACCATGTACAAAACATTGACCTACCCTCCACGTATACAGGTCCAGTCCACGCATCGACATGTGGATGAACGTCGTTGAACGCGGGCACTTCTATACATGTACTTTTTATCCTGTTTGGGCGTTTTGCGGACATAGTACGACAAACTCTAGCTGCTTTGTTTGCGAGTTTTGCGATACGGCGCTACGCGCCTGGCGCTGTTGCTGGTTTTGTTGTTATTGCTGCTGCTGCTGCTACTGCTACTGCTGCTGTTGCTGCTGCTGCTGCTGCTGTTGTTGTTGTTTCAAATCTTTATTCTCACGATAGCCAGTGGCCAATAAGAGATAATAGTGTGAGAGAGGAGAAAGAGTGAGGAAGAATTGAAGAGAGTACGAGAAGGAATTTCACGAAGCTGGGCGGGCAAGCAATTAAAGTAATGCAGGGCTTTGTACAGGGGAGAATGGAGACAGCGATCAGTCCGCGGAGTTGGCAAGTGCGCGCCCGCCTCGCACGATGGCTAGGGAATTGTGAATTCTCACGAAAATCCCATGTTTTGCAAGAATATGCTAGTTTTCTGCAAAACTTGTTGATTATGCTAGTGCAATGCTAGTTTCCAGAAAGTGCTAAATATGCTAGATATAATGCTAGCATTATCCGCCGGGGCCTACTTATGGAGCCTCAAAGTTGAGAAAATTGTGCCTTTTTCGTACTTGCAAGTTGCCATAAGTACAACGAAATGTTACATGACTCAACATGAGTATCTCCATACCAAGGTATCCGTGCATGCTAGAGATCAACATGAAAAAGAGAAAACATACTTCTTCTGTTCATTCGTTGATTGCTTTTGTAAAAAGATTTTTTCATTGCCGAAATAGTTTGAGTTGCCTTTGAAAATTATCATGTTCAACTGTGTTCGTAATCGTCATACTCGTCCAATGGACGTCACCCTCAACCTGAGAATAATCAGCTCATCTCTCCCGTGGCTCCACCTCTCCTTCCATCATACATGTACAATGTACATGTATGAGCTAAAGTGAAAGTAGTGAAAAGTTGTGCAGCGTGAATTAGGGTCCAGCGGATTCTGCCGGCTGAAAAATTGGCAGAATTCGGTACTTTTTCAGGTAAGTTTCATGCATGTTTGGTACATGTATGTGGATAAAGAAATGGAGCAGAATTCGAGGAATTGCCCGCCATAAGGTTTGTATGGTTCTGCCAATTTCACTGCTTTTCGAGCAGAATCTGCCACCTTTTCGAGCAGAATCCGCCGGTAGCCCTTTCCCAAAGGTGCTCGCCCTTTTTTCGCCCTTTTTGGCCCTTTTTGGAAAAGCCCGTTTCTTTCGCCCTTTATTGCGTTTTTGGTGAATATCGCCCTTTTTGAGCTTTTTTAGCTGAAAAAGTGCTAAAATCTGTTTGCTCATGCATGCGATCACAGTTTCGGAGTGCTCGATGGGCCTTGGCAGTTCACAGGTCTAACATAGCACTTGTAGAGGAGTATCATGGCCTGCGGTGTAAGACGATGTGCCATGTGACAAAGTAGGCTTACTCTTTGCTTGAATTTGCGACTGATGTCAAGTAGGCTCCGGCGGATTATGCTCGCGAAATCATGGAATTATGCTTTCATGGATTCTCTCATTATGCTCGCGAAATCCTCATATTATGCTTTGGCACGCGGTGATACATATCACTTTGTTGTACTTATGGATAGGCCCCGGCGGATAATGCTAGTTATTTTCGGGAATTATGCTAGCACTGCTAGTAAAAGTGGCACATTATGCTAGTTTTAATGCTCGTTATGCTCAATTTAATGCCACTTTATATGGGGTCAAAAAAGTGCCAATGAAGGACTTCACAACTAACGGGAACACCATTAACAGCTGCACAGTCTCGCACCAAGGCAAGAACCTTGTGGCTTGGAACTTGCAGCTGTGTTGACAAAACTGTGATGAGCTCTCGAGCTAGTTCGGTACCAGCTAGGCTTTTGGACAGTGCAGAGAAACGTACGAGGCATTGGTGTATGTTGAAATCGCCATCGACGTAGCGGAGGACAACAGCAAGTGCCTCACCAAGGCGTGAAGTACCATCGATATAAAAACAGTGAGATGAGCTGCAGATGCAATCTCTTTCTTGATGGTAGACTGCTCATTCTGCAACAGGAATGGCACCAACTGTGCCATGTGAGTGCTGTACGTCATGCGACAGTAGTTGCTTTCAAGCAACGGACGATGGTGGTCTATCTTACTCAGAGGCACACCTGCTTTGAGGAAAGACTCGACAACATTGGCTGTTCGAATGAGGACATCATTGGCTACAGCACCAGATAGCCCTGTTCCTGCCACCTCCTTCTGATCTGTAGTGTACTTCTCCCACGAAGCTGTTAGCGCTTGCTGGTGTAGTTGGACTCGTTACTTTCGCTCTTTCAAGTCTTTGGCCGTCTTGTGCTTTTGGTTCGAAATGTGTGATTTCACATTGCTGTTCTTCGGTTGAACTGTCGGGCTGCAAGCACTGCAGTGAATCTTCCCACTGGACACGGTCAAATATTCCCCTGGAAATTGCTGCACCTAGTGCACGCGATGGTGGACACTGACTGACACGAGGTGTCAATGTGGAACTAAGTTCCACCGGCAAATCGCCCACGCTTAGCGACGGACTCCTTCCCACTTCTCTGGAAAGATCGTTTTTGGGATACCGCTAGGGTCCAGCGGATACTGCCGGCATTATATTCGGCATTATACGACTATCCGAGCATCAGAGCATTATGGAGCATTAGAAAGGAACAAAACGAGCATTATGTGAGGTTTGAGCGGCATAACGAGTTTCATAGTGGATATTATCGGGAAATCCCAGTTTTTTGGCAATAATCGGCTACAATCATGATCATGAGATGTTGTCTGATGATTGGTTTTGCCATGAAACTCTGAGCAACAACGAAACAGCCCTATTTTACTCCTTTTGTGTACCTCTTGCGTACTACGCCCCGCCCATTCCGGGCGTTTGAGCACTATGCATTGTACCGGCGCATGACTTTGTAGACACGTTACACCTTTAGCACTAACGCTACATAACTATTGCTACATAAAAACGTTATGATTGTAGCGATGTGGTCAGGTAAATGTATACAACTTACAAGCCATTTGTGAAGCATGCCCAACCGAGGCCGAGACAGTTCAAGTGACACAAATCCGCAGAAAATTTTACGAGGTTTCTTTTACTTTTAGAATAATGGAGAGCTATGGAGGAGACATACGCGAAGTGAATATCAAACAGACGAAGAAGAGTTTTCTAGTTGTGCCAGAGGCTCTATCGATACTGAAGTAGACACTGATGCATTGCTAAGTTTGGACCAGGATGAAGGAGCGGCTATAAACAGAAAGAGCTCGTTCCAAAAGAACTGCCTTTGCCGAGTCCAGCTCAGGGGGCTCGAAAAGAACTAGAATTTCTCATGGATTCAGTACCAAGTCGATTGCTCAGCAGCGCCTGTCCTACTTTCCTGATGAAGCACGTACAGTTAGTCGTGGACGGTTGTAATGCCAGGCCTACAGTCAAATGCTATCAGAAAGGAAGAGTATTGTGGCAA